TATCTTTGATTCCTCTCGGCTTCAAAGAAATAATCTATTATTCCTATTCCTAAGGTTTAGGTAAAGACATAAATATGATCCTAGAAAACAGTGAGGTTATCTTTCTCTAAATTATTAATTTTATTCCCCCAGTAGGAAATTTCTGATTGTGGAAACCAACTAAGAGTTAGAGAAAACTAACTGAAGACGAAATTCTGCACATGTTCAGAAGCCTTAAAAGCGGGGCATGCTTCTGCCTGGTAGACGGCAGTTAGTGGCCAGGAGGTCCCTAGGCTTGTCCTGAGGGTGAGCTACTCCTCAGGTAGGAGAGAGCCGTCAGCTAGTTACACCTTCTGTTCTACTCCCCACCAGGTTTATCTGAGGGTTTCTGCTCTGGATCCTGTATAGTCAGACCCCTTCCTTTCTATCCCTTGCCTTGCTGTTTAGTTTTGACCCTGGAAGAGACAAAAATTGGCTTTTGTGTCTGTAATTCATGTGACATTCTAAGGACACACTAAAGCTATATTGAGCTTCCTGCTGCTCTCTGGACCATGGAGTTTGGAGAGTTTGGTAATGATTAAGACATTTGTGGCAAATGAAACATGTCATTATTTTTAAGTATTAAGAGGTGAAATGTTATTTTAAAAATTGATACAAGCAAGTGTTTTCTTTCTAAGAACCACCTTGTTCTTTAGTCTCTTTCTTTTAGAGATGTCTTAGAACCTTCTAAAGACTTCATCTTGATTAATTCTGTTTGATGAACTCAGACATTCTTAAAATCCTACCTGTGCACTTTTAGCTTTGGACAAGAATTGTATTTAAAATAGAAAAGCATTATATATGACAATGAATGTGTATGTGAGCCAAACCCGTAACCAGTAGCTTACTTTCAGCTAACATTGCATAGAGCTACGTATTACCGATTTCATAGTGAAAACATAACCATTTTCATCAATCTCCCTCTCACATGCCTTAATTTTCTTGCTTTACAATTTGCCCAAATGTATGTAAGTGCCAACTGTAGAAACCAAAACCGTGGCTAGTTTAAAAAACACAAAAGTATTACCTTGGGAGTAAGTATGAGAATGAGTTGGGCACTGGCATCTAGGGAAGAGAAAAAAAAAAAAGGAAAGAAAGAAAGAACGAAAAGAAAAATGTAAAGTGAGACTGGAAACCCCAAAATGGTAACTCACATTGCATTCTAAGATGTTATCAAACTGGTAGTTATTGGCAGACATTGTATAATATAGAGAAAGCCACCCAGAAATCACGACGAAGAGTTGACTCAGAGTCTTTCCAGAGCTGTAGGATTACTGAACTGATTTATTCAAGCAGTACCTACTAAATGCCTGCGGGCAGCTCGCACACGCACTCCGGAGGGACACGCAAGTTTAATCTGGGGCCCCTGATTTCCATGAGGCCCGGCTCTTACTGGGTTAGGAGCTTTGACCAAACTGACCCAAGGTTCACTGTACCCGTGCGCCTGTCCTCAGCCCCCCACTCTGGGAACGCTCCTTGTCCCAGTGTCTTCAAGGTGTTTTTCTTCAGACAGGCTCCACACGCGAGCCTCCGAGGAGCCTTCCCGGGCCGCAGGCCCGCCTGCCTGGTCCCAGCTCGTCCCGCCCCTTCCCCGCCCGTCCAGTCCCGGGCGCGCCCACACCGGACACGCGCTGCTCGCCGGGGTCCCCCGCTTCTCAGTCTGCTTCTCTGCAGATTGTCCACGTCCTCCTTTTGGAAACTTCCCCCCGCCCCCCCACGGCTTCCGTCTCCCTTTCCTGTCCTGGTCGTCTCCTATTTCCCGGACTGTCCCTTCTCTGGATTCTCTTTCTCCTGCTCGCTATCTATCTGATGGGGCGGGGTCAGGAAAATCTTTTCCGTTTCTTTCGGTGGCCCAGAGGACCCTGTCAATAGTGGGGTCTCGCTGGATACCGCGTGCATAACTCCCTCTTCTCTTCCTCCCCGCCAAAAATTCAAATTTGGAACTAAAACATCCGACGGGGAAGACGGGGTCAGGAAGGAAAAGCGTTGATCTCAAGAGCCGTCCAGATCTCAAAAATTCGGAGAACTGCGACGACAAACCGACCAGGGGCGCGGGAGCGACCGATCCCGTAGGTCAAGGCTGCCACCTAGCGGCCCCGCCGCCCCGGGCTCCCGCGCGGCAGAGGAAAGCGGCAAGGCCACGCCCGCTGCTCCACGGGTGGCCTTTACTTTCGAGAACGTTCCCTGCTCTGCGCCCTCCAAGGACAAGAGAAGAGAGGCAAAGGGGAGAAAAATACCCAAACTCAAAGCTTTCTAGCGCTAACGCTCCTGGGAGCATAAGCTCCTCCCACCTCGCTTCTCTCTCTCTCTTTTTATTTATTTCTTGACGGTTTTCATAACTCTTATTTTTTTCAAGCTCTGAGGCCACCTCAATGCCTCATTTCCACTCCTGACTTGTGGTCTGTCTCCTATCCCCTCGTGCCCTCTCAGGACAGTCGTCTGTCCCGTGTTTCCTAGTCCCCACTCCCTCCATCCTCCTCAGTGTATTTTAGAGCTTCACGCCTAAACGCTCCCACCTGCTATGTCCTCTGGCCTGCCCGCCCCTGCTCCCCTCCTGGCCTGCGTTTGTCGGCTCCGTTTTCGTGCCGCGCACACACTCCTTGGCCCCTGAAATCAGGCTGCTGCGCCTGCAAGTCCCAGCCTCCCGCTGTTGCTCTCCTCTCAGGCCCCGGCAGCTCGCTCCTGCAGCGCGGAGCACTGCGTGCCACCCGTCCCCGGGCAGGGGGAACTCTGTCCTTGGAGTCCAGGACTGCCTGCTTGCCTGGGTTCCCCCAGCTGCTCTTTCTCCGGCCGCTTTTCCACTCTGCCATTCCTAAATGTTGGGTTCTTTCCTGGGCTGGCTTCAGCCCTTCTGACCCTTCTTCCTCCCTCACCCTTTGTAGCCCACCTGTTTCTTCACCCGCATCCACCCCCTTCTCTAAGGACCCTTGCTGTCCCCTGGTTCCGGGTGAGCTCTC